AAATAAACCTGATGAGGAAATGATTACGAAGTGAGGCTGAGGCCACATGTTATGCAATTGTACAAAGCGAGAAAAAATGTATTGCAGGATACAACAAAATGAGATATATACTTCAGAAACTTACTCTAGCCAATCTACAGATATATGTAAGTCTGTGTCCTCAGGTAAAAGGTCAACTGTGACCCCGATAGTTCTCCAAATATTAGTACAAGGACCATCCTTAAATGTGAAAACCTGCAACAATAATTTGTAAAGGGGGTCAAGGGCAAAATCACAAAACTATTTTTTGGCGAAATTATAGATCAAATAACAAATGTTAGGTCAGATTCTAGCACCCAACATGCTACGGATGCTACCAGTGTCAGAAACTCATGCATAATGTTCTCATTCAGCACACTTCTCTTCATTCCAACTTTTTTTTCTTTTTGCAAGCCAGAAGCCCAGAACTGACATATTAGCATATGCAACTTTTACATTACTGGATACTATCACAATTCACACATGATGGAACCTGAACTTATTGCAAAGTATAGAATGCGATAACAAAAGCAAAAGCAACAATATACCCAACTTCTACGATAATAAAAAAACTAACGGAAAACATAACAAGAGACACAGGTTGCACTCATTTCGTTCGACCGGTAAGTTCACTACGCAGTAATGAATTCAGAGCGAACCAGTTCAGCACGCACCTTCATTTCGTAGCCCATCGCCTCTAGCACCGAGGCAACGCTAACCATCTGAAGCTGCATTGCACCGGGAGAGAGATCCCCAAACACCTACAAGGGAGTCCAAACACAAACAGCGAACGAATCAAAAACCCCACGTCGCGAGAAGAAACTTGGCCCAAATCCTCCACCCACAACACCACACAACCCAGCTCAACTCCTCACCATGGCAAGTCGCGGCTTCCGGACCCCGAACCTCCTCACGGGATTCCCGAGCTTCGCCAAGCCGTCGGCCTCCTCCCTCCGCTCCCTCGCCCACCTCTCCCTCAGCCTCGTCGGCTCGAACGCCACGCCCTCGCCTGTCTCCACCACCCCGAGGCCGCGGGGCAGCAGCGCCTCAGCTCCCCCTCCCCTCCCGCCGCCAGCTCTCCGCGAGGGTAGCAGCATCGTCGGGCGCTCGAAGACGGCCGATCCGGGGAGGAAGGCGACGACGAGGATGGTGACGAAGAAGAAGGCCGCGGCGGTGCCGATCCACTGGAGGTAGTCCACCTTCTCGAACAGCAGGAACCGCGCCAGCCGGGATCTCGCGCTCCCCCGCCGCGTCGGCCCCACCACGGAGCGCAGCAGCGGCGACGGCGGCGGCGGGTGGCCACGCTTGTATCCCCCCGCCCCCGCACCCGCACCCGCACCCACACCGCCGCCGTCCTCGAGGGACCCCATGGCTGCTACGCTAGGGCTTAGCCGAAGCCATGAACCAGTAGTAGCAGCAGCAACAGCAGCAGCGGCGGCGGCAGCGGTGGTGGTGGCAGTCGACTGTGCTGGACTCGTGAGCAGTACAAGTCTCTCTCTCTCTCTTCTCTCCTCTCCGCGAGGCGTTCCGTTCGCTTTGGTCTTGGAGATGGGGATGGGAGGAGGAAGACGAGGAAGGTGGTGGCGTTTAAGGCAACGCGAGCGTGGCGAGGCGAGCTCGCGGCCGTCCGATCTCGATCCGACGGCTCACGGCGGGGGATTCCCGCGCCCGGAGCATGGACCCCGCTGTCTCGGGAACCGGATGGGGATGGGGGCCACACGGGCCACGGCCGCCTGGGGCTCCGCGCGCTGTCGCCAACTCGCCTCGCCGGGGTAGGTATGGCAGGTGGGACCACGCACCGTCCGGGCCCCAGCTGCAGTGTCTGGGTAAGCCCGTGTAGCAGGTGAGAAATACTACTCGCGGCTCGGGCGGGGGTCACGTTTCGGTCTTTTCGACGAGATGTTTTTCTCGAGCAGCGCTGTGGTGGAACTGGAAGGTGATGGAAATGGAATAAATAATTAATCCGGGCTTAGTAAGATAATTCCGTGTCATTATCGTTTCTTGGCACGCAATGGAAAAGTGTTACTACCACGAACTAAATCTTGAGAGGAAAGGATTCTGCAGGTGGTGGCGGCAGCTTTGATTGGTCCGCCCGTAAAGTTTTTCAGCGGGGTGGGGTACACGGGGGTTTAGATCTTTATTTTTCGGGGAAAATGAGGCTGTGACTGTGAAAGCTCAGCACAGCCACAGCAGAAGCGTTTCTGTGACCGAAAGGCGGAAAGATCGCAACCGTGGCCGTGCCAAAGTGTGGATGTGCAGGCGGCCGGCCGATGCAGAGCGCAATGGCGGCTGGAGAATGTGTAGAAAGCATCGCCTTTGTAGTTTGGCCTCCCTGGGAACCGAGGAATTTAGCGGAAATTTCAAAAGAAACAAACTAATTTCTGTTAAAAGAAAGTTATACAAAATTCTTGTGTTCTAAAGGAGACTTTTTTTTTAGAATTACACAGTACAATGCAGACACTCACAACGCACGCGCATTCATCCCTATGAAAATATGCACGCAAATTCTACCCCTACAAGCATCTTCGAAGACTGCCGGCAAATCCTGAAGAGATTGACGAAGTCACCACAGACGCCTCGCTGTCGACGGATACGTCGCCTACCACTGAAAGCACAAGTCAGCAAGAATATACTAACATGGATTCAAACTTAAAGAGAATCCGCTGGAAATTTATAATCCTGCAGCTGTAAGTGGGCATTTTAGATTACGCAGTTCATTGTCTTTGGGAATTAAGAGGATTCGCTCATTAGACTAAACTAAGTGGGACGGTACGGTTTGGGCGTTGGATGCTTAGTTCTTAATGACGTTAGCGACTAACGGAGTAGCGTGTTAACACGTGCAAACAAAATCTTCATGGGTTTCCTAGCTACTAATGGCCAATATGAGCTGGAGAATATAAGCATGCAAATTGCGCGGTCATGTGCGTGTTGAATGCCAAAGCGTGCAAAGAGGAGGACCTATCTGCACGGCAGCTGACATTGATTTGCTCATTTGCATAGTGGTAGACTGGTAGTGGAGTGAGATTTTGGACAAAAGGGGCTCCATCACAAGTAGGCTAGAGATTGTCACCATCTCTTAGGCAGCGTTCTAGAGGGTGAGAGAGTGAGTTTGTTTGTTTCGTTTTTCGCGTACACGTTTCCCAAACTACTAAACGGTGTGTCTTTTGTAAAAATTTTCAACGGTGTGTCTTTTGTAAAAATTTTCTACAGAAAAGTTGCTTTAAAAAATCATATTAATCCATTTTTAAAATTTAAAATAGTTAATACTCAATTAATCATGAACTAATAGCTCACCTCGTTTTGCGTATCTTCTCAGTCTCCTCAATCCCTTCTTCTCAAACACACCCTTAGATCTGCTCGCACTAAAACCACTCATCGTCGAGACTGATGTATCCGATCAGTAATCAGTTTGCTTTACAATCAAGTAAACAGTCAGTTTAATCATGGCAATCCAAGCACAATAATTAAGCATTCAACAATGCGCTCTCCCATCATGAACGTGTACTGTAGATCACAACAGTCTATTCACCGCCCCAGTCGTGTGCTGCAGTTCTAGACCAACGGCAGCTCAGATGACAGTTTGCAACAGAATGCAATACATTCTCAGTTTCTCACAGGACTGGTCGGAATAAGGTCTCCTTTCAAGCGGATGAATTTTGGAGAATTTTTTTTATGAATTGAACTAATTCATGCAAATTCTTGTAAAATTCATGCTTGGTTATTTACGACCCACATGTACTAATCATGCAAAGTTGAAAATGTTTGTGGTAAACTAACCAGTAATATCAACCAGACCACCAGGACGCTAGGAAAAAGCAAATGGAGCAGGTAGGGCAATACCCCACAGGAATCAAAATCATATGGTCCATTCTCCGTTGTGCTGTTTCTGAAAAGGCAATCATATTTGATTTATCGAGACAAAGACACCAAGGCGATTGACCCACCCCTCTTAAAAGTTGCCGACACTTGTAGTTCCTGCTCAGCGGCAGAACCACAAATCGCGGACACCGGTGGCAAATATCAGTATATCTCAGCTCCGAGCTTATCCTGCACTGTAGCAAAATTAGCTTGTGGATAACTCTGTATATCCAGTGATTCTATTTCAGCCCAGTCCTGGTCAGCATTCCACGAGAATCCAAGCTCATGTGCTGGGAACAGATGCTATCAAACATCAATGAACATGGCAATTTTAGTATGGGACTCAAATATGAGACCAAATGCTATCAACGAGATTATAATTTTTCTTAAAGAAAAAAACATATGTTAGTTGCAAAAAGGGCATCAGTCTTACAAAGTTACCTCATCCATTCCAAATTATAGGGCGTTCTCTTTTTAAAGTAAATCAAACTTGATAACTTTTAACTATTTATCATACTAACCATATACATGCTAAGTATTATGCATGTTATATTACTAGATATATATTTTAAAGTACTTTCATGTGATGCTAATTTCATATTTATTAGGAACATAAGTTGGAATAAATTAATGGTCAAATTATATCATTGAAGACCGTATAAAAAATATAGAGCTTATAATTTCAAATGGAGGGAGTATAATCTAACAAAGAAGCCCAGTATCAAACAGTTATTAGGCACAATGAGATAACAGGAACTTAGAGGAAAAACAAACTCAAGCTAATGCATCAAAGATGTATAACAATGCACGACTGAAAGTGACGTGAACTTGGTACAAAGGCAGTAAACATTTTCTTTTGTTTAGTTGTTGCATCATCCTTAATGTCCAAACAAATGGCCAAAACGAAAGAACGGTGATATTTTATACTTGGACGGCATGTCAACACATGGGCATCTGACACTGGAACAAATAGTTTCACAGGTGATCTGGTACTAATCTAATTAATGTTAGGTAGGTTAAAATATAATACCAGCGAAGAAGATATGCTACAAATAGCAGTAACTGCAGCATATTCATCCTAGTTCCAAACTTGAATAAAGACAGATGCAACGTACTCAAGAAAGACAAATGGACAAAACACCTTGAACCTACTCTGGCTTTTCTTGTAAAACCAGGTGGCATGCCTTTTTGTTTTTGTTTTGTGGATGGATGAAGGAATACAGCTATTAAGAGTAATGAATAAAATTGAATTGACCTGGTCACGAATCGTGATATTCCTACAAAGACATGGCCAACAAAAGGAGCAACATAGCTTGCAGACAAAACTACGATGGTACACCATGGATCAGCTGATTAAAAAAAATATCTGACAATTGGCCATTGTTAAGCAACAGGCTCCAAAACTTCAGTAACACAACCTTGGAAAAGTGTGTCATATCTCAAGCTCCTCGTGACATCAAAGAAATGAGCTACAGCTTCTTCTGGTGTTTTTACAAGAACACCATGGCCCAAGTTTAGTATATGACCTTTTGGACCAGCTGATTTGACAACCCTGCAGAGCAGAAGATTGGGTGAAGAACCATTAGCAGCCTCCAGTGCTGGTTCCAGAAATGTATTTGGAATGTAATGAATGAGTAGAAGGTTCAGTCCATCAACAGATACAACTCCTACTAGACCACAAACAAATATCAAGGGCTTAACAGTGAGCATAGCTGTATTTATACATGTTTCACATTTATACCACAGTATAAAAAAGCATGAGATTTGAAATTGTGAAATAACTATATGGTTGGTACACCTAATCCATCCAAAATATTTAATCATAACTGAGATCTGTAACTATATGGTTGGAACTATATGGCTGCTATTTAATCATATATCTGAGATCTGTGGTTGGATCCTTACCACCAAATCCATCCTAAATATTTAATTTGTACATTAATTCTCTTTCTTGATTAAGTCATACTATCCAGCACACCTTGACACCACCCACCTGACACCCAGTGATGCCACCCACACACTGAGCGAAACCAACCTCAACACCTCCTCACCCCTCCTGGTGCCCATATCCACATCCTACACCTCCCCCTCTAGTGTATTTTCGTTTTGCTTTATTTTCTTGGCTGTGCGTTCCGTGCGCAAGCTGACTAGTAATAATAAAAATGCATGGTGTTCATCTATTACTTGTTCTATAATCAAGAGTTTAAGACATTCAAGGGTAAATGCTGCAAAAAAAAAATCATTCGTAAACCACAAAACACAGATCATAAACGAATTCACTTGCGCAAACTGTACATATATGAACCAAGTTAATCAAAGATGGCAGCACTAGAAGATGAATGATATGAGTGCCATAATCACATGATACAAAAACACAGTGTGGACAATTTGGAGACCTCACTGATGAAGCATTCTCAAATGTAAGTATTAGAAACTTAAATGAACAGAAAATGAAAATGCACAATGAAGTTTTAACTAACCTATGAATTTCATCGGTCAGTACTGGTAATGGAGAAAATAGAAATGCTGGGTCAACATTCCCCTGTACACTAATTTTGTTACCAAGGCGTCTCCTTCCATCTGCCATATCCACTGTCCAGTCAAGACCAATAACATCGACTCCTGTGTCCGTCATTCGCTCAAGCAAGCCTCCATTTCCATTTATATAGAGAACAAGTGGTACATTGGGGCATTCAATCTTAATCTTATTCACAATCTGCCAATGAAATGGTTCCATGAAATTCAAAGAACAGAATGAACAACAAAATTCAAACTCACACAAACTTTACAAACTGGAATGTTTTGGAGGGCAAGATGCCAAGATCAATGGGAAACTAAGTCAATATGCAGTCTTGCAGATCAGCTAAACTATAGTGAAACATTGCATTCAAATGCATGTATATGACAACGTGAAGCTAGCATTAGCATTTTACATTTGTTTCTGATTGCTTACAACGGATTGGTTCTTTATGCACTCCTTGTTTATTTATGTGTTTCTTCACAGGTTATGTAGTAACTTGCAACCATAACCATACCAAGCTCGAATGCGCTGCCAGAAGTTGTGTGGAATCCAATCAATTGATAAAGTATTTGTTTAAATACATAGAGGCATATTTCTCAACATTTTAAAGAACTTCAGAAATTTTAGGGGGTATGCTCATTGATGCAGTACTATACATTGTAGATCCAACCTGATTAACCTTAGAGCAGCCACCCATCATGAAATTAGTCATAAGGATTAAGGAAGCAAACAGGACCGAGAAAAGTAAAAGTAAGCTACCTGCTTGATATATGGTTTTGACCACTGCTCCCACACATGAGGTGGAAGTTGTCCACCCCATGAATCAAATATTTGTATACATTGAGCCCCAGAGTTTACTTGGTAAATAATGTATTCAGATATGGCGTCTGCAAGGTGAGACAAAAGTCCCCTTAACACATTTGGTGCTGTGTGGCACATGCTCTTTATATTTGTGTAAGTGTTGGTCATCCCCCCTTCAACAACATAAGTTGCAATTGTCCATGGGGCCCCCACAAATCCTAGCAAAGCAGCTTGTCCATCAATCTAGAGGGTAGAGGAGAAAGTGAGATGTATAAGAACCAAAATAATACTGGATCAAATTGCATAGGAAAACTGAATTTAATCCAATACACTCTCACAGAATGATACTTATACATTGTTGATGTTCCCAAACAGTTATGAAATTGGAGAAAAATATACAAGTAGAGCAGACACCAGTAACCAAATTACCAATGTTTGGTCACAACCTGGTCTAACCTGGTCTGCAACTCACTGGTTGCTGGAAGGATTTAAGTGAATCACACAATATCATGAATCCCAAAAATTTAAAACAACTATTATCACAAACATTCAAATCAAGCATAGTAAAGGAGCAGACTCTGGAAATAAGCATGTGATCGATGTTTAGAAGAGACGGTGCAGCAATGATAGGTCCACAAAAATGTCAAGACTTCCTTAACTTGCTTAGTGTTTATGAAAGCCAAATTTTCCTGATATTTAATTTTAGTCAGTTGTCAGGAACGGCAGAAGAATTACTCGACTCTACTAATGAACACCGGGTAATTCCACTACCGTTTTGTTTTGCAGATGCTACACAGCGGGCTTGATAATAATTATGCACTATTGATTCCAAATCACCTTAGTCTATAAACATGACACGCTGCCAGCAAATACGCATACTATATTTCAGCACCACTTGCACCAACATTAACAAAATTGTATTTATATAAGTAGGTGAGTTTAGTGGCGACAATACAACGCCACTAGCCTAACGAAGTAGCTTTCGTGAATCAGCTAACTACGCCAGCATAGAACTAGAATGTAAAAAAACCTCTATCCCCTATTAGCATTTTCATAAAAATAATGCTGAACCAAATTTTACTTGAATCCTGTAAAGGCCAACACAGCTTGTCGTTTTACTTTCACAATAACTGCCAGCTCATATAACTAGATTTACATTGTACCAATTCATCATGAGCCCCCAAACCGAGTTTCATACAACAAATTTTAACAGAAAGGGGGTTTTCCATACCACAAAAATGGCTGCGCATTACCTCAGTGCGTAGAATCTTGAGCGACTCACCGACGAACCGGAGCTTCTCGAAGTCAATGGGGGTGAGCTCCCTCACCTGCTCCTCGGACCTCACGGGAGACTGGATCACAGGCCCCTTGGAGTCGGAGATATCGAATGGCACCCCAATGGCCGGCAGCGGCGTGAGTATGTCCGAGAACAGGATGACGCCGTCGGGCGCGAAGGCGCGCCACGGTTGCAGCGTGATCTCGACGATGAGTTCGGTCGTCTCGGACCGCTCCCGGAACGAGGGGTGGCGCTTGGCGAGCGCCTGGTACTCCGCCATGTACCGCCCGGCCTGCCGCATCATCCACGCCGGCGGCCGCGGCAGCCCGTCCTCGCCCCTCGCCGCCCGCACCAGCAGCGGCTCCTCTGGACATGCGGGAGGCCCAGATGCAGGTCAGATTAGGGCGAAAATGGAGGAAAACTGGAGGAGAGAGAGAGTAGTAACAGCAGGGCGGTTGGTTTTACCAGTGGAGGAGGCGGTTGCGAGGGACGCGGAGATGGCGGGAAGGCCGCTGCGCCGGCGGTGGGTGGTGCAGGAGGAGGAGGAGGCCGGCGCCGCGGCGAGGAAGGCGGCGGTGGCCGTCGCGGAGATCATGGCGGTGGCGGCGACTTCGCGGCGTGGGCTTAGGTGGCTGTTTTGCTTATCTAATCCTGCTTGGGGTCGGGAGTTTGGGTTTGGGTGGAGAAGGAGCAACTGCTGGTGCGGATTCCGCCTCCGCGCCCTCGTGGCCTCGTGGGCCAACGGGGAAGGACCTGGCATGCCACCGTGGCTAGTACGAAGAGAAAAAAAAACTCATTTCAAGCCTTTATTTATTTTGTATTACAAACATTTCGAATAAGGTCCCTTTTTACATTGGCCCTAATCCATTTTGTTGCCAAAATTTGACCCTTTTTTGGACTTTTATTACGTGGCATTGGACACCCACAACTCTAGCAACATACTCCATGTGTTGCTCTTATATGTGGAAACTTTTTGTAAACTAGTACTTCATCCATCACAATTTATTCATCACATAAGATTTTAGAGATATTCTCAAAAAAATTATTATTTTAACAAAATACCTTATGTTTATTTATAAATGTGCATCGTGGAATACCATGCATGCGTGCAACTATATGCGTGTAGCCAATCAATATTAACTTGAATTGGTTCAACTCATGCAACATGTAGCGCCCGTTCCGTCATGGCGCCTAGCGGGAAAACTATCTCTTAAAAACCCTATTTGCGAAAGCTGTTTCTTTGCTTGTGATCTAGTGTCCGTGCCATCTCAGATCTCAAATCCCCGATCTATCGTCGAATTCAATCCCGAATCCAAATCCTTCCAAATCAATCCCTCCGCAAAAGTCTATTTCGCCTCCCTCGGGTTCGATGGGCCGAATCCCTCTCGGCCCATCTCCCATCTCCTCTCTCTATCTCCCTCTCTCTCTCCGCTCGCGCGGGCGTGCGCGTGAGCCGCGCCGAGCGCCTCCTCCCTCCCCTCGCTCCCCCCTCCCCGCCTCCATCCCTGGCGAGCACCCCGCCCGCGAAATCGGCCCCCGCGCGCCGTTGTTCGCGCGCGCGCCCGCGTGGTCGCCGCCCGTGCCACGCCTACGCCGTCTGCGTCATCCGGCCCCGCAGCCCTGCCGCGCCTGCCCGCGCCTGTCGCCCGTGTCGCCGCTTCGCTCCACACCGCCCCCGCCGTCATCGCCGTCGTCATCGCCCGGCCCCCGCCACTCCACGCGCTAGCCTCCAAGGGACGGAGGCAGAGCTCCTTCTCCCTCTGCCGCGTCGCCCCCGCTCCCCTCCTCCTTTTCTCAAAGAGGCAACGGGCAAGCCCCCTTTCTCTCCCTCCTTTTCCCTTTTTTCCTCCCGCCGGCGTCATCCTCCCTCCGCCCTGTCGCCGATTTGGCCGCTAGCCGGAGCGCCAGCTCGCTGGCTTGACCGTCCAAAGTCGGTTCCCCTCTCCCAAACCGACATTGCCATCCTATAAAGCCCAGGCGCCCTCCCTCTCTTCTCCTCTCGTTGTCCCATCGCCTCCACTCCATTGTCGCCGCCTCCCGTGCTCTGTTCGCCGTCACCGTTTGTCGTCGCGCGTGTCGGAGGAGCCGACACGAGCGAGGACGCGGAAGGGGACTCCGGGCGCGCCCTCTTCTTCCTCTTCCTTGGCCCGAGGCCGAAACGATCACGTTTCGCGCCGTCGGCTCTCGTCACTGCGCCCGCCCGCACGGTAGTGCATCCCTCCGTTCTCCCTCCTCGTTCCATCTCCTCCCCTTAGACTCGGGTAGTAGCACGAGTAGCCTCTTCGTAGCTAGCCAGCGCCGCCCCGACCTTTGCCGTCGCTCGCCGTGTGCTCGCCGCTGTCGCCGCCCGAGCTCGGAAACGCCTCTCGTCGCCGGCCTTCCTCGATGCGTTTCCTCCTAATCCGGCGCAAGGGACGGATTCCCGTAGCCGCGTAGATGCTCTCGCCGCCGGGAATCGGCCCCTCGTGACCTCGTCGCCGTTTTCCCCTTTTCTCTCCGCTGGTGGCCGCCGCCGCAATCCGCCGCCGTCGAGCTCCCTCCAGCGAATCCGAGCCGTTGGCTCGACTCCCCTCGTCCCGCGCAACTTCCCGGTGTGCTCTCTTTCGCCTAGATCGCCGTGTTTCGCTCCGCCGCTCGCCACCGCCGTCCGCCGTCCGTTCCGGCCGGCGTCTTCTTCAACCTCCCGCCGGCCCGCGTTGCTGCCACGTAGGCGCCAGCTCGGCCAAGACCGGGTCGAGCCGACCCCGGTCAGCCGCTCCCTCCGGCCCCGCTCGCGGGCGCGGTCCACCGCGAGCCGTGAGGCTGCGCGTGGGCCCGCCGCATCCGCGTCCACCGCGAACCACGCGCATGCACCGCGCCCCGCTCCACACCCTAGCGCCGCGCCACGTGCTCCCTCCGCACGGTGAGCCGAGCCGCTGGCAAGCGGGTCCCACCCGGGACCACGCGAGATGGACTCGGTCCACCGGCGCCCTCTCTCTCCCCTCCCCGCGCCCTATTGGGCCGTGTCCTCTTGGGCCGGCCGGCCCATTTAGCTCGGCCGAGCCGCCCCTTTTCTCTCGGGCCGCGCCCTAGCCGCCCGAGGGAAGTCTACTTCCCCTCCATCTTCCTTTTCTTTTCCAAAAGGGTTTAATTAAATCCTTTTTCCTTTAGACCAAAAATCTAATAATCTTAGAAATTCAATATCTTCCCAACCGTAAGTCCGTTTGACTCTGTTCAACTTCCAAAATTCCTCGAATCTCGAGATCTATCTAATGGCACGCTGAGAGGTCATTAATAGGGCCTTATTTTCGCCGTTTGTTGAGTTGTCCCGTTTCGCGTGTAGTTTCGGAGCCCGAAGACCCGCAGTGCGAGGATTTCGAGGATCAAGCTCAAGATCTCGAGCAAGGCAAGCCACCTTTGAACATCTTGAGCCTATAATTGAACTTAATTATGTTGCTTGAAAAATATTATGCATTGATAGGATCACACTTAATCTGCTTGTCCCGTCTGCAAGGCAGATTGGCGGACCTACCTATTTTGTTGCATTGATCCTTCCTCTGTTAATTGCTATATCATGTTCCCTTGTAACCACATAGTCGTGCCTCGGTAATCGTGCACTCTGCACGAGTATCGACGGTCGCCTTCAAACTTAAAATCTGAAAAACATATTGGGTAAAACTTGGGTTTTACAAAAGACTTGGAAAACCCGACACCTGGGTCGGTGCTTGCGAACTAAATGAATTTCCAAAACCGCGGACCGGGGAACGTACCGGGTGTACGGTTTCCCGCTCTTGCACTTAAGGATCGTTTCCTTGGAATTTCATCCGAACATAAGACAAGTACGACCACATGGGTGGAATGGGACACCCCTGGCTGAGTAACTAGCTTATCAGGGGAGCCTTGATGCCGAGAGACATGTGGATTCACCGGGGTGGTGTCGGGGAGGACCCCCGGGCTTCCTGGCACAGTATGGTCTGGGACCTAACCTGTTGTTGGTCTGGGACCCCTCTCGTCGGCATATGGTAAACCTGTGTCGGCTTTCGAAAATGCCTTGTCATGAAAGCTTGGAGGTCTCCCGACGTGGCTGATCCCCACGGGCTGGGTGATCCAGGTTAGTAATGTCGTGTGGGTAAAGTGTACCCCCCTCTGCAGAGGTTAACAAACTATTCGAATAGCCGTACCCACGGTCATGGGCGGATGTGAGGTGATTCCTAGCGTAGTTTTGTTTTACTACTGCTTGTGAAATTGCTGTTGTGGAAAGGGGATCGATGTTTGGAAAATCTGCAGCTGATGGGATCAGCTAGGCTCGGGTGGCCGTTTGAAAGTTGTAGGCCCGGGTGGCCGTTTGAAAGTTGTTGGCCGGGTGCCAATCTTGAACAATTCAAAAGACTGATACATTGCACATACTCCGACCGGACGAGACGCACTGTCTCATCCGTGTCGTTTGAGAAGCACTCACTTAGTTGATTTCAGAAAAGAGTTCAAATAAAATCAATTGCAAAAACAACAGCCTTTCCTTGAAGCCTGCATTAAACACTTATTTCTCATGGCTTGCTGAGTACTCCCGTACTCACCCTTGCTCTATATAAATAATCCCCCCCAGTTGCTGGAGAAGATGAAGCGGATCCCGCTGACGAGGAGTTCTTCCAGGAGCAAGCCGGCTACGATGAGTTTTAGGGTTTCGGCCTAGTTCCCAAGTCGCGCCTGTGATGTTTGGTCCAAGTCTTGGCTTCCGCTTCCCTTTTGTAATGCAGTTGTGAGCTCGGGATCTGTCCGCAGCCCAACATGACTGTACTCCTACTCTATAATAAAGAGACCTCTGTTGCTGTGATATTCTGTCTTCCTGTGATACCAGCACTGTTTCCTGGGACTGGTATCGATTAACAGGTTAATTTGGAGCGTCACGGGCTAGTCTCGCTCGGGGCTAGTTCAGGGCGTGACACAACATTTAAAGTGTAAGTTATTTTTTATTGGAACGAAACAATAGAGAACCGCCTTAAATCAATTTCAAAATGATGAATGTTTGGTGTCCTTTCGTTGCTCTTTGTTTATGGAATGATCAAAATGGGATGGATGGGACTATTTGAGATGGCCAAAAAAATATATAAAAGGTTTTTTTATAGACAATATGGCTCACCAAAAAAACCTTCAAAATGATTATTTTCTTGTTTTAGTTCAATTCAATTCTTCCATGAACAAAAGAAAGAGGAATCCAAATTACTCATGAAGCATCAAGGTTAACTAAGCTCTGGGGAGCTTTGGTGCTTTAGATTTTTTTTCCCAAGAGAAAAACTACTGTCAAACATTTGACATGCTCAAAAGTTTCAAGGATGGGATTAAACTTGTGTTAGTGGAAATTACTAAACACATGTAATTGGAAGGTGAAAAACAAGAAACTGTTCAATTATTGAAGATTTGTGAAACTTGTCCGATTTTTTTTAATAAAACGAATGACCGAACATATGTCAAAAATGTTAACTGTCTTATATAAAAAAATATAGTTTATATAAAAAAATGAAGACAGTATAAAGGAGTATAACACAGATAATGTTTCGGATGAAATCGGTTATATTAAAACCTACTGGGAATTGGCGAGCTGAGAGCGATTCGGAGCGGCGTGTTCGTACGCAGAGGCATCCACGTCGCCCGCGAGCGCTGGGAGGCGGGCGGAATCCGCGCCCTCTCGTGCGTCCGCGC